ACATGGTTGTTTTCCCCTATTTTCAGAGAGGCTTCTGCCCAGCAGATATGCACTCTCAGAGTTACATAGCAAAACAGATTAAAGCAAGATAGAAAGCCAAGTTCACTGAAAGAAATGAGTGCAAAGCATCTATCTGAATCTAATGACAGATGAAGACAGATGTAATGTTGTCTTTAAGAATGTTCATTCACAGAGTTGCGAAAGAAAAGTCTCCTCTACTTCAGAAAACAAGACTATACGACTAACTCACGTATACAACTGCACATGGTGGCAAAATTTTAAGCCCTGTATGTACCAGTCACTACTGCAGTGCATACTTAAAATAAGAGCACTAGCTTTAACTTCCGATCTTGGATTTACTCCAGAGCAACATGCTTTAACAAGCTAAAAGCACTATCTAATGAATTTTATTGTACCCTTCTGCCCATTCATATGCTTGCATGCAGGAAGAACTTAGGATCTCCAGGTTCCAGCAACTGCCCTGGATTCTGTCTCTTTCCTGAGAAGCATTCAAATGAATTCTCATGACCCTTGCAAACTGTCAGGTACAAGTCCATGTGCATACAGGCATGTGCCTGCATAAATGTGAACAGGATGAAAAAGGAGAGGGAAGGGAATAAAGAGAAAAGGATAAAATAAAGAAGTGAAAGGATGGAAAGAGTTCATACAGGAACAATATTCACATTTGAACATAGAAAAGAAACACCTCAATCCAAGAGAAAGAAGTCCAAAAGGCAAGGATTACTAAGTTACAAGAAAAAAAACCCTAATGCTAATAATATAAATCTCATGTAAAATTTAATTCTACAAATTTACTTTATTATTATTTATTTAAATTCAGAGCAGATTTTCTCAAGGGTTAAGAATTGTCATTTTTTAACTGGAAAACATGTCATGAAATATTACCCCACACTTCCTTCTTTCCAAGGGAAAGTGAGGAAAATCTGTTGGTATATTCAAGTCCCTTCTCCTTTTTCTGTTCTTCACTACTGACTTTGCTATGGCAGTCTGCACAAAAGTTTATGAAGAGTTGAAAACAAACCTGGTAGTCCCAGATCTTAACCAACCGGTCATCTGCACCCGAAATGAGATACGGCTTGTCTCCTCCACTGTAATAGTCAATGCAGTTTACTCCTTTCTCATGGCCTTCCAAAGTAAAGTTGGGTGAAGAAGAGCCAAGCTGCCACACCTTCCCAGGGGAAAAAAAAGCAACAAAAACCCCCAGATCTGCAGGTAGTTATTTACCTTTTGCACCCAGGTCAACCTTGCCAGAGTAGGTATTCAGGTGTATGTTTACAGTTCCAAAGACACACTCATTTCTCTTAGGTGAAGAGCCTGAACAACTGCTTAGAAAATTACCCACTGCTGCCCCCCATTAAACAGAAATAATATGTTGAGCTGCACACATTGAGCTCACAGCTCAAAACAATGGAATTGGTTTCTTTAACTTTTTTTTTTAAGACAAAAAAATCACAGAAGACACTGTTTTTAAGTGGTGGTATCTGTCTACACAATTAAATAGACCTAGACAAAGCAATCATTTGCACATACAAGAGTTGCCCCCAGCTGTGTCCTAAATTTATTTTCCCAGTTACATTAAGTGAATGACAAACCTCATGCTAAATGAGGACTGCAAATGAAGCAAGTTAAGTAGAAGATACACCACTATCTTCCCCATGATCACCACACCAATCAATATTTATTCACACCTAATCTCAACATCTGAGGACATATGAAATCAAAACTGGCTCTTTACAGCCAATATACGGATAATTTAGGGGGAACATGAGGAAGTCTCACTGCTCAGATGGCTGTGAGTCTGTAGTCCCAGACATTCAGTAATAGTTTCACAGCAAATGAGAAGGTTGAAGAGACCTTTGGAAACAATTCAAATGATAAAGAGCCATGACCGTGAAAATAATGGGAGAAATGCCCACACTGTTTGCAGTTTGGTTGATTAGTTTTTTTAGCTGTGTGCAGTTAAAGGCTTTACCCAGCGTGTGTGTACACACACATACACATACAACTACTCGTTGACAGTATAACCATTACCCCTCCCCAATATTTCTGCATAATTCAGATGAAAATGCAGCACTTAAAATTTTAGAGAACCACATTTCAATGACTAGAGGTGACAGGTAATCCTGTAAATTTACTGAATTACTTAGTAGGTGCACAGTAACTTGACCAGCCTTCAGGTCTTCATTCAATAAAAATGCCATGATTGCACCTGCTTTATGAATTCTTACCCTATGTCCATACATTATTGGCTTGTGTATTCTGTCGGGTGACTACTTAAAGACTACTGCCCCCTCTCCAGTATGGTTTCTCTACCTTGATAGTCCTATCCAAAGAGGCACTGGCAAACTGGTTGTTGTCTTTTGGGTTGATGACAATCTGCATGACATAATGGGTGTGTCCTTCGAACACCTGAGAACAAGACCATTTTTTATCCCAGTCCCAGAGTTTAATGAGCATGTCATCTGAAAAACAAACAAATCAAGATTCAGTTAGTTTAACATATTATGATACCTACCTTCTTAAACTATGTAATTCTTAGTAACTTCAAGTAAAAGGCTCATTCAAATCTTCTCCTTGAAAGGAACCAGTGCTAATAATGTATTTTTCACTTGTAAGATGACTGGTCCTCTCCTGGAGAAGGACCACACGAAATATAAGTTTCTCAAGAAGACTGTCCAGTAAAATGGTCATAAAACTAAGTAAGAAACTACTTGCTATAGTATCCCCATTTCAGAAGATAAAGGAAAAAAAACAAACATGCAATCCCTCACTAGACAGAAAACAGAAGCCTAAAAAGAGCTGGTTAACAAAAATAAAAATATACCAAATAACTCTTACCACTGCTTGTCAGTATGAAAGGCTGTGTGGGATGCACAGCAATACAGCGGATGTAATCTGAATGTGCTTCAAACATGTGAACTCTTTCCAAGGTGTTATAATTAAATACTCTAATTTGCATGTCATCCTACGAAAGAGACAAAAAGCAACCATTGAAATAGGACTCTGTTTAATACACCTTATTTTCAATACAAGGCAACTAGAAAAAAAACATTCCACTAGTGAAGAGCCTCCAGTAACAAAACGTTTTAAGAAAATTTATTTTCTGAACATAACTAATGATACAAATTATAATTTGATTCACAAGACTAAACTACCCAATCCTATTCCAAGGCATTTATGACACGGAGAAAGCTTCAACTAAAATTTAACTTTTAGAAGATGTATTCAAAATAGTCTTTTGATTTAAGTGCAAAATTGCTTCGAAAATTAATGCTTTATATAAAAACAAAAAGCAAGATTCATCTACACCAAACTTGCAATTAAGTTAACACTGTAGGGCCAAGAGGAAAGAAATTGTAGCTCTAAATCAAGTGGAAAGATGATTCCAACTTGATTTTCTTTAAATTGAGTTGTTGAAAAAGAAAAAAAAGGTATGTTTATTTCAAACACAGTATTCTTAAAAGCAGTATTTCTAAACCTTTAAAAAACCAAAACAATATTGAAGAACTATTCCTGGGAAACGTTGCTGACTTATGCCCACTTGAAATACCTGGGACATGGCAGCATAATATAATGAATAAAAGCACAGTATTTTTCCAGATGTGAACAATTCTTTAAAAAGTATTCTAAATATAACCAAAAACAGAAGGAAAAACAATAGTTTCATCTTAAAGCAGCACTACTAATATTTAGTCAAAATTGTGTGCTGAGTGTGTTCTGGCTGACAGTAACAGTGTAATCCAGACCTACTTTGCATTACAGACAGGATTAGCCACCATATTAGGCTGCTCTCCTTCAAAATGAAAACTTTTGAGTTTCTAAGCTTACTTAAAGCAGAACACTTCTGAGAAACTGCAGTGAAACTTTCTCTTCTACAATTTCATATAAACTGTATTATTAGGTGATGTACAAAGTAATGACATAGAGAAATAGCATTGCATATGGAAATCACAAGAAGAGGATAGCTTACAGCTCCTGTAACAACCCAGTTCTTTCTTGCCACGAATTTGGCAGCTCTCACTGGCAGGTCACACACTTCAAAAGTCTTCACCAGAGTCTAAAAAGAAAAATAATAATTTCACAGCACTGGAGAAAATGCCTGTTTTGAAATCAGCTTCTTGTCTCTTCTCAACAGTATCCAGCATGCTGTCCTTAGCAACTCTTCAAAGAATCCTATACCACTACACGTACGCTTTTTTAAAGGAACATACCTACCCAAGAAGGGAAGATACCTCCCTGTTCTTTCTTTTATCACTACCTTTATGTTCTCCCTTCATCTTCAACCCCACCTCCTGCCTCCCCAGATATTTTCAGAGCCGCTACCCAATTTCAACTACACTTGATAAAGGTCTAACGGTTTCTACAACATTCAGAAATAGAGGTGGCAGGTATAAGACAGAGGCAGCTAATATGTCAAAAGGAAAGGCCTTATTTTGAAAGAAATACACAAAGCAGATCATTATTGAAAAATAAATTTATAGGAAATGAAACACCAATGAAGTTATAGCTCATGATATTCCTTGTCTATGATTACAGTGACTTTTGTAAATAAGACAGGGAGAATACAGTCAATTAGTGGCAGTAAATTAAGACCCTTCTTGTGTAACTAGTATTGAAAAATAGAGTTTATGCATCTGTCAGTTATGAAGATTTCATAATTAAGGGAAAACCAAAATCATCACCTGGGTTTCATGGTTCCAAACGCAGACGCTGCCATTGTAAAGGCTGGCCAGCATCCATGGCTCTGTGGGATGCAAGTCGACACTCTTCACCCGGTCAGACCGGGCTGTTAGTTTCCTCTTTATATCAAGTCGCAGAGGCTGGACAGGAAAAGAATTGAGAATATCAAGTTATTTGACATAAAACTTGCACAGGAATATGACGGAGGAAGGAAAGCTGCAATTAAACCTTAAAATAAAAAGAGTCAATCCTGCTTTTCAAGCAGACAGAAGACTACTACTGTTTTCCACCCATCTGCTGCTTTGTTTTTGTTAGGGCTTCTGGAAGGACCTACAAATGGCAATGGGTCCATTTAATTTACTTCTGTGAAATTCAGATTTTTTTCATTATGCAAAAAGTATCACCAGCACAGTAAAAAAAATGTACATCTTCCTGGTGTCCCCAAACTACTAAGGCAAAAAGAATTTACTTCTAATACAAATGATAGAAAAATCAATCTTCCTGCTACTTCACTTGAAAAGCCAGTTATCACCACAGAACACAACATCAGCCCATCAAAAATTTATTTCCATTCACAGTTCCAATATTAAGTTTTAGAATGGAACACCGCAGTAAAACTGGGAAAGAAAAAGTTGGTCTTCCTCTACAAAGAGGGCTTTGACCTTTCACTTCCATCACTGGCAATGTAAAGCCAGAGTATTTAAAAGGCATGAAGTGGAGCAAAGTGGTTTTCTGAAAAGTCTAAGGCATTAGTGATCCATTGAGACACTCAAAGACTCTTGAGCTCACTTAATGCTGCTGACATTTTATCTCAGAGAACATAACGGGTAATACCTGATCACAGAAAGCTGCATGCGTTTAGTGGCAGAATAAAGCCAATAAAACCTGCAGCTACATATGTTAGACACTGCAAAGAGAAAAAGATACCTAGCCATCGTGTAGTACCCATAATTTATGGACATGGCATCTGACGGTAGACAATGAACTTGTGGTTTATTTCTCCTGCCATAAATACGAGAAAGGTGGGCAAGGCAATTGCAGATAATTCTGTGCTTATCCTTGTACCTGCTCTTTGCTGCTACTAAGGACCAGACTACGGCTGATCTAAGAGGTTAACTGCAACACGGACTCAAAAGACTTTGACAACCACCAGGTCTGGTTGATTTACCAGTGCAACCCCACACTGGTAACGGAGTTCAAGTGATCTGCTCTGTGGCCACAAGCATAATGATACTAGGGGACTTTCAAGTGCTTTCTTCTGCATTTAAGTTACAGAATGACCCTGCCACCTCTTCAGCTAGCATGGACACAGGGAAGCCCAAGCCAAACTGTGCAAGACGACCTTGCACAGGTCCACCCCCGGCTGGTGCTGCCCAGACCCAGACCCCGCTCCAGCGGGCAGGGCCAGGGCCATGCAGAGCGGCCCCGCGACGCCCAGGGCTGGCTCCCGACTCGTCCTGCCAGGGCGGCGGCTCAGGTGGGAGGCCCTGCGAGGCCTCTTTCTCTTCCCCGCCATCCCACCGAACTACTTTTTCTTCAAACGACTCGGGGGTGA